TAACCTGTTTTTTTGTTTACCTGTTTGTCTAAGTGTCTGTCTGTTGGTGCTCACCTGTCTCCTGCATTTTGCATAGTTTGTTTCACTGTTTAGATACATCTGTCCGTCTCTCGGAAAGATGGTCTGTTTTGTCTGTCTGTATGTCTATACATCAGAGGATCCACCCATCGGTCTGTTTTTTTCTGATGTCAGTTCTCGCTTTTCTTCTGCTTCTCTATCTACTCTTTCCTTCACTTCACTCTCCACCCAGTCATTCACTTACTCACGCTCCTATTACACACCTCATCCGGCACCCGCCCACTCTCTCTCACTCTCTCTGCTCTTTTCTCTCCAGTTTTTCTTTTTTCTCTCTCTCTCTCTCTCTCTCTCTCTTCTCTCTCTCTCTCTCTCTCTCTTCTCTCTCTCTCTCTCTCTCTCTCTCTCTCTCTCTCTTTCTCACTCTCACTTATCTTTCCCCTCTTCTTTCCTCCTCCTTCATTCTCCTTCTTTCTTTTCCCTCCCCTCCTTCTCCTTCTCCCACTCTCTCTCTTTTCCTCCCCCCCCCCCTTCTCTCTCTCTCTCTCTCTCTCTCTCTCTCTCTCTCTCTCTCTCTCTTTCTCTTTCTCCTCGTTCCCCCCTTTTCTCCCCACATCCTCCTCTTTCTCTTCCTCCCTCTTCCACTCCCTTTAAGCTCACAAGCACACACACATCTTTACCAGATACAAATTTCCCCACTTGCCTTCTCCCACGCACAAACAGACATCTCCCCTGACACGCGCGTTCAGTTCCACTCTCACTCACGCCCTCGCCACGCGTTCCAGAACACTCCTTCTTTATCTACTCGCAAGCTTCTGAACCAAGTTCGTTACCGGCCCGCGAATTCGCCGAAACAATACCCATAGCGAAGGGTGATCGGGCCCAAGCCGGAGCCTGAAGTTTCCACGGGAATCCAGCGCCGTCGACCGTCTACTTCCATAGCGATCGCATGCAATCCTGCGTTCATGGGGCCTTATCAACTGCGATCGGGTCGTCAGGTTCATTATAATTGGCAGCGATGAGGATATTAAGGTAATTAAATTCCTATCGATGAAGAACGTGATTGGGTAATCGTGGTTGTGGTGTTACAAACGGCGGGGGAAGGTGAGGGAATGGAGAAGAGATGCAGCGGGAGAGGATTACTTGCGATGGGGTGATTCTGTATATATGCGATATCACGAAAGTGAAATTAAATGAGAGAAGGAGAGGAGGAGAGGCAGCAAGGAGAGGAGAGAGAGATAGGGAGAAGGGGGTGGCGCAGGAAGGAAAATAGCGGGAGGGTGAGAAGGAGGGGAATAGAGGGAGGGAGGAAGAGAGAGGGAGAGAGGATAAGGGTTGGATAGAGGGACAGAGACACACACATACACGCGCGCGCGCGCTGAAAGAAAGAAAGAGAGAGAGAGAGAGGGAGAGAGAGAGAGGGAGAGAGAGAGAGGGAGAGAGAGAGAGGGAGATAGAGAAAGGGAGAGAGAGAGAGAGAGAGAGGGAGAGAGGGAGAGAGGGAGAGAGAGAGAGAGAGAGAGAGAGAGAGAGAGAGAGAGAGAGAGAGAGAGAGAGAGAGAGAGAGAGAGAGAGAGAGAGAGAGAGAGAGAGAGAGAGGAGAGAGAGGAGAGAGAGAGAGAGGGGGGGAGGAGAGGAGAGGGAGAGAGAGAGAGAGAGAGAGAGAGAGAGAGAGAGAGAGAGAGAGAGAGAGAGAGAGAGAGAGAGAGAGAGAGAGAGAGATTGCATCATGCACCTCAAATATTCCAACGGCGTTACCTCCCTCTCCCCCCTCTCACCACACACCATTAGCGCCCCTTTTCCTTCCAACCTGCCCCTCCTGGCAACAAGACCCCTAATCGAAGACACTGGAAAGAAGCACCGCGTCGAGGCTGAGGCCAGATGGTGTTGTAACCACCCACCCTTTCCTGACGCTCGACGACCTCGTATGTTCTTGAGGGGTCGTACTCCGCCAAGCGCGACGAGCGACCCACTGTTATAAATTTATTACAAGCGTTAAGCATTTCATCCCTAAGAAAAAAAATACAACGCGCCCGATCTCTTCGATTCTCCCACTAAAGCAGTTACCCGTGATGGGCGCTGCACTGTCCCGGCGTTCTCCATCGTTCATTCTAAGCTCTTGCGACACGGAGCATCATCAGATCCAATCCATCACGGGATCTGGCCGACACCGAAAGCGCCCCACGTCGTGTTTTATCGCTCATCATCATCAGAAACGGTTTCAATTTGATGCGAGTGTTGCCGGGGCGAGGCACTGAGGGACAGTGACTGGCTGCGCGGCCGACGCTCTTTACATACGTCTAGCCACTGTCTGGCCTTTAGTACATGAGAGCAAGGCTTGTCTGAGCACGAACGCATTGCTGGTTCTGCATGCATGTTTCTTCTTCTGCCTCTTCTTCTCATATAGCTGTCTGGATGGAAATGTGAACCATTTGTCCAACATGATACGGGTATATACTAACGGCCTTTCTGGTAATCCAAGCAAATCCTTTCGCCTTGTTGTATTAGACGTCATTATTTGCAACTACTGGAATTATGGTGAATTTCGTTGTGTATCGCCAGCTTTGCTTAATTCTGTGGTGCGGAGTGCACAGCCATTAGTGTGAACTTTATACTGATGAATTTTTATCCACCTGACAGGTTCTTTTCTTTCAGTCTAGACACACTTGTGCAACGTTCAGCTTATTACTACCTATCTGTCTCCTGTTTTGGCCGGTATAATGCCAGACTGGCCGCGAATTGATTGCGGGCGACGAGGCCGCGGGCACTCAGGACGGCCCCCACGTGCACCAGTCGCCAAGAATCAGCTGATCGGCGCGGTCACGTGGTCCCCGCCCAACTCGCGCTCCTCCAATCAGGGAGCGCCGTTCCCCTCAGCCTGCAGGCCCCTCCGAGGGGATGACAAACGATCCAACAGATCTGCTTGATATGAATTCATAGCATACACCAGCGGATGTTTCCTGCAGGCCGGAAAACATTAAGGGTGACCGAAGAGATACTTATGGGTCAGCTGACGTAACAGATATCGCGAAATGGTTTTGAAACTACCAAATAAATGTCGCGGCAAAATGTGACGTCGTTAACCACGCATTTATAGAAGTTAGCAAATTTCTCTCACCCATTCAAAACCGAGTTCTTTCACACATGTATTTTTTTTCTAGAGTAATAATTGTTGACGTATTCGGAGAAACGAATGACTTAAAATAATCTATATTCATCACGCAATGAATCAAATAGTCTCCCTTACATGACGCAAAGTTTGATGGATTCTGTCACTTGATGATTCGGTAAGAAAATCGAATGGGAGTGGTTATTACCTAACTTTTTCAGCTGAAATGGAAGGATAATGTGAATGATAATTACATCAGTGGACTATTGGGACGTTAGTGGCCAGAAGTTATATGGAAATTTCCTAGGGGGAAAGTTCCGACAGCCTCTTAGCTATTCCGCATTCCTTACTGCTAGACTAAAGAAAAGTTTTAAAATACCGAATAATGGATAGAAAAGGGACTCATGACTTGCCATACACTTAACACATTTCTCATTCCGTAAGAAGAAAGTTGAGAAGGAAAATATGTATTCGAAATGGTTTTCACCCTAACCTTTACACTTGTCATCATCCTTATTTTCGTCTTCACCCCTGTCATCGCCATTACTTCCTTCCTCTCTTCCAGTCTCCTTCTTCCTTCATGCGAGAAAAGGGAGACACAGCAGAACACAAAACACGTAACATGACAATGAACTTTTAAGATGGATGGATGGCCTTACTGCACAATGAATAAAAATCCCTTTATGCTTTTGGCAGAGTCACTAAAACCTTATACTGCGTATCTTTCGCCGGGATGTGTTTGCTGGAAAAAGAGAAGTCTGGGACGATAAAGAGAATCAGACAGAAAGAGAGAGATAGAGAGAAGGGGATAAGGAGAGATGGAAATAGATAGATAGATAGAGAGAGAGAGAGAGAAGAGAGAGAGACGGGGGGAGGGGGGAAGGGAGGGAAGGAGGGAGGGGGAGAGAGAGAGAGAGTGAGAGAGAGAGAGAAAGTAGAGAGAGAGAGAGTAGAGAGAGAGAGAGAGGGAAGAGAGAGAGAACGGGGGTTGGTAGAGGGGAAGATAGGGAGAGGAGAGATAGAGAGAAGAGAGAGATGAGAGTAAGAGAGAGAGAGAGAGAGAGAGAGAGAGAGCGAGAGAGAGAGAGAGAGACGGGGAGGGGAGAGGAGGAGGGAGGGAGGGAGAGAGAGAGAGGAGAGAGAGAGAAGAAGAGAGAGAGAGAGAGAGAGATGATGAGAGAGAGAGAGTGATGAGCGCCAGCGTCGAGAGAGAGATCGAGAGAGAGAGAGAGAGAGAGGGATGGAGGGAGGGAAGGAGGGATGAGACGGAGAGGGAGAGAGAGAGAGAGAGAGAGAGAGAAGAGAGAGAAGAGAGAGAGAGAGACGGGTGAGGGAGAGGGAGGGAGGGAGAGAGAAAGAAAGAGAGAGAGAGAGAGAGAGAAACGGCGAGAGGGGAGGGAGGGAAGGAGGGGGGGAGGGAGGAAGAGAGAGAGAGAGAGAGAGAGAGAGAGAGAGAGAGAGAGAGAGAGAGAGAGAGAGAGAGAGAGAGGGGGGGGGGGGGGGGAAGAATGGAGGAGAGGGGGAAGGGAGAAAGAAATATATATACACATATACATATATATAGAGAGAGAGCGAGAGAGAGAGAGAGACGGGGAGCTGGGGGGAAGGAAGGAGAGGGATGGAGGGAGGGAGGGAGAGACAGACAGAGAGCGAGAGAAAAGAAAGAGAGAAAGAGAGAGAGAGAGAGAGAAAGAGAGACGGGGGAAGGGAGGGAAAGGAGGGAGAGAGGGAGGGAAAGGAGGGAGAGCGAGAGAGACGGGTGAAGGAGGGAAAGGAGGGAGAGAGGGAGTGGTAGGGAGGGAGGGGAGGGAGGGAGATAGAAGAGAGAGAGAGAGAGAGCAGAGAGCAGAGAGAGAGAGAGAGAGGAGATAGAGAG